GCCAAATGGTGATTTACTGTTGGCAATTTACAGGCTTGCAGCTTGGGTTCATCCAGAATGCATGGACACAATTACCATTTTGGGGGGGGGTTCCACTCATAGTGATAAATTACACTGACATTGTTTATCACAAAACACTTAATGACATCAAATTAAGGATTCCCTTCAATCAATATCCATGTAAATGACGTAGTCAAGTTCTGATTGATGTTGGTGCAACCAAATATGCCCTTCTGTGACCCAAATATCATAATTAGCTTATGACTGAGACAACTATCACAGGAAGGGTAATGATCAGTTCAAAACTGATGGAGCACTGAGCTATGGAAGATTAGAAATAACAAAGATACATGTACGTGTATAAACAAAAAGGCGAATCATTTGACATTTCTTTCACACATTTCCTTGAATATGCCAGAATAAAAATAGACTGACAGAATACATTTGTAAATGGTACTTCAATCAAAACTCTTTACCATCTTCCCATACTTCAAATGTTAGAACTTAGAAAGCAAAAACACTTACACTGACAGTTCTAGTTTTGGCAGAAATTTTAGCAAATACATCATCATGAGAGCTCTATGGAATAAAGTGTACATGTATTCATTGTTAAAAAAACGTATAATCATATCACTAATTTTCTTCAATTGCCTGAATTATTACCTTCCAAACCTGCTACATGAATGAAACAAAACACTCAGTCAAAGATAATAGACTAACATTTGAAAAAATAATGTATTGAAAACATCCTACCCTTGATATAAAATTTAATTTACGTTGAATTAAATTTCAATGATGTTTCCAAGTCTAATTAGACAGGTCAGGTGTCACAAGGAGATAGCCTTGTACAAATGAAATGCTACAAAAGAATTGTCAAATCAGGATCATAATTAGGGCCTGTATCATATAACAGAACATTTACAGTCATGACAGTGAACGAAAGATGCAACACCAACTCCAATTTATATTGTACACTTCAGTTTACGATTTATATCATGTTTAAATTGGACACTTGATGTTTGGAATAAATAGACTACCAATAAAAGTACATACCACACTGACTACTTTTTTAAATAATAATACTAATAATTAAATTTTTTCATTTATATTTCTTTCCATTAAACTCGTATTTTTTATTTATAATCTTATCTATAGTTTAATCCTTTGGGCTTCAATTGATTTTAGTTTGACTGCATCAAGTCATAAAAAGCAATAGAATTTAAACTTATGAAGGTTTTAAATGGACCCTGGAAAGTTGATTGCCAATCAACAGAACAGAATACACACTGTATGCACAGATATGAAAATAAACTCCAGTATTCATAAACAAATTTGAAAAGTGTATACAAATTTGAGCACTTGAAAAAAATTGTACTGCATAGCCCTCACTCAGTACAATCACTTAACGCGTTTATTCATTACTACTTAACACTAGGCCCATTTTATTAATGGCCCATTTTATTAATGACCCCTTTTTTCGAGCAATTTTCTAGCCTACATCACCCATGTACATCTGCGGGCAAGCCAATGTGCTTTTGTTGCGTAATTGGATCATCCGAGGGGAAGGTCGCGTGCGAGGACTACGGTACATCATGTGCATGTATTGTCTACGCACACTGGGCACACAAGACACACACGGGCCGTGTTATACGCTTGGGCAAACACAAGAAGAGAAAGTATCACCAAAATGAACCCTTTGTTGGTCGTTAGAGAGGCTTGTAAGTACTGTTCACACGTACCTGGTCCAAGACTACGGCTGGATCTTCGCCACTGAGAGGCTTTATGCCTTTATGAGGGTTAAATTGATCTCATGGTTTGAAGTAAGTCGAAGTAGTAAGATATATTTACACAGCGTCGTCTTCGTAAGATAAGGTAGCCATCTTCGATTCATGAAGTAGCTGATTATTAAGACGCCCTCTTGTGACCCAAAAACTTTCTAGTGAGTTAGTGCAAAGTTCGCTCGCCCACTCAGTATTATAATAATAGGCCAACTTCCTACGGCTTAAGACAGAATCTATCAAAACAGTGATCTGTAGCGTTGTACATACAAGATCCACAGTATACTGAACAAATCAAGAGTGGTACGGAATCCAGTAGACACAGTTCGGCATTTTTGGCATTCAGCATTCTGTTGTGAGAACCAATGTAAAAGGCACAAAAAAATACATACTGTAATGTGCCTATCAGGGTTCAGTTCCTTCACCCCCAGAGCAAACCTCTACTTTATTTGACTCCTTGGTACTTGCGGATGGAGGGGGGGCGACGGGGAACCCCAGAAGAAACAGAAATTGAAACATATTTAAAAACAAAACAATTTATATTATTAATATAATTATATTATTATTGAGGGGGTATTTCCCAAAAAATGTGTAAAAGCCCTAAAATACAACGTAGAAGGTGGTTCCTCTACTTTGTATATTTTTGTTTTCGTGCGTATTGAGTAAAATGGGATGGTGTGTTTAATAAAAAGTTTGAAGAGATCATTTCTCTCCTGGGCAAACTTTAAAGCTCACATCATCAGGTTTCAATTCAATCAAAACCTTTGGCAGCATGCAGTTATTGTTTTTTTTATACAAAAAAGATGGTCTCATTCTCGTCTATAACAACCCCCAGAACTCCAGTTTATGGCAGCAACTTGAACATCTTAACAGCTGGCATGTAGGTCCACTTGAGCGGTTACAAACTATACAGTATACAGGATAATATACAAAGAACAAGTGCAGAGTCTAGAAGAGAGGCTAGTCACGAAGAAACATTCAAGGTGGTTGTTATACAATGATGGTAATGCCATTGTGCGGGGATTATTCTTAAAGTCCAAACCGAAATTGAGGAGAAGTTTCCATTTTTTAGAGTATGCACTTAACGCATGTACACAAAATCACGGAAGTTCAGATCATTTCATATAAGCCAAGCACCACCATGTAGCCTTTTTTGTAGGTTTCAAAATGGTTTCCTAATGGGACGTCTTGAAGTGATTTGCACGACTCCATTGCATTGGATGAGTAACGGTACAAGTGCAAGGCATCGTTCGTGTTGCAAATGCTGAAAATACGAAGGAGCCATCAAACTATGACTGAAGACTAATATACAACGCAGCTATATGCTAAGAAACCACACTTATTATCGTATACAATATGTATTATGGTTCCATGGAGTAATTCAATGACGAAAACACCCTGAAAGCAATATGGAATTATGATTTAATCGCCTTTTAACTATGGTGATTTCGCAATGTCAGGAAAGCAGTGCCAAGCACAAACATGAAACTATAAATTTTGCTTCGATTTCTGAACGGGACTTATTTCAAATTGGGAAATAATGTCAAACAAAGCAAAACGAACTTGCCTAACTGAAAAAATAAGCTGAAACTGAGAATAAGAGATAAGGTCAAGCCCGAGGGCGGTATCACTATTCAGTGAACTAATGTACGGTACATATCACTCATTACGGTACATGTGTACGAATTGTCGGATGTGAACCCTTGCACCAGAGGTTTTTACTCATACCAAAATCTGCGTGTAGTGATTCCGTCCCAAATCCGTTGAATTCAATTAACGAACAATGAGGCCAGTGATTTTGAGATCTACCAAACCGAAACCCTGGCCCACACAACGTCTTAAAATAACCAATTTCAATGCCATAACGTTTCCATAAAATTAGCTCGCGATAAACTTTTTCCCAGTCACGTGAAAAGAAATTTCACATTTGCACAGGGTTGATCCGAAAAGGACTAGTATTTGTCCGAGTACCCGTAATGAGCGGCTTTTTGCTGATAAAGTGAACTCGACACATCCCACTTTACTCACTGACACCTAGTGCAACAACAACGATAGGGTGGCCAGAATTTTGAAACATTTTTTCAAAGTGATTTTTGACCAGTAGAATATTTTTTTTAATATCTCAAAGTTTCGGATTCTGTTCAAAGAGGCGCCCTCCATCCCGGGCCCCCGGTTTGGATTAGTCAGAAGGTCCATGTGATGTAATGTATGTTTACGCAACACCTGTTTGACGGCAGCTAGCTGTGTGATATGGGACGTGTCTGGGACGCTGCACGGCGGGCCATGTTTATAAAACATCCCAAGACTGGTTCCACGTCTTGATTGTGCACAACAAAGATGAGAGTTTGTCTGGTACCTGAAAGCAGGTAACTCCGAGTCCAACGTACGCGTGAACAGTACAGATCGACGTGAAACGCACATAAGCTTTCATGTAATCACAATTGTGTTTGAGGGGCCAGAGAAAGGGGAAATTGCGGAACGGTCTGCTGTTCCTTCGACAAAATCATGGCAAATAAGCTCAGGACTGTAATATGTTTGCTGAGAAATGACCTGCGATATCACGACAACGAGGTGAGACTATACATTTAGATGTGATTGTTCTTCTTTTTTTTTTTTTTTGCCAAAGAGCATCTAGGGGTGCAGTGTCCCAATTCCAGGAAAATTCTCCGCCAGGCGCAGGCCAAGGCGTACAAAAAGTACCCCCCAGAGATTGTTTCGAAAAGAGGGGTCTGTTTTGGCCAAGAAATGGTGGGATTGTGTCAGTATGGCCCGGGATCATCTCTGTTGATTCAGGGGCACCCATCTGGGGGCAAAGCAGACAAAAATGGGATTGAAAATAAGTCAGAAGAGCCCGCGGAAGGCGAGGGATGTCATTTGAAAAATGGCCGCTGGGAAGGCTTGGCAACATTTACTTTTTTGGGGGGTGAGTTTGTTTTGGGAGGATAATTAAAAAATTCTTTGGTTAACCTATTAAAAATTGAAAATCAAATGAAATCCGAAGGATCAAACAACACATTGTTTTTTGTTTGAGAGGCTTCAGGGACTTCAGTTGCCTGCCATGGGGCTCCAAACTTGGTTGATTTTACACTATTTTCAATTTACTTTCTAATGCCATGATTGGCGCCAAATAAATGTCATGAATGTGTGAGTGCAACCATGGTGAAACCAACTTTCACCATGTTCACTTAACGTTAGTCTAAGTTTCAACCATGTCGCTCTACTTTGCATGTCCGTCTTTACGTCTTGACATTTTTGACCAGTTATACATGTAGTTCGTGTGATATGTGTTGGGTCATAGAAGAAGAAAAAGTCTCCATAGTTGGGTGCAATCTGACGATATTGGGGCTTGTGCGATCTTCGCTCGATCGGTCGATCTTGCTCCTAAACACAGTGATTCAACTCTGCCATGAGCTATGTCAGCCAATCCCATTTTCTTTCTAATTCTGCCATCATCCAATCACCCTTTCTTTCTACGTTCTAATTCACGTTTGTGAAAGATTGTTTAAAAAAATGGAAGTAAAGTTGGGAATTTCATGCAGCATCAGCCGATCGCACAGAGCCTTAAGTTAAGGGGATCATGTAGATTGGCCTATCGTGCCCAACATATATCTGTCCAGCACTGATCTTTAGGAGCCGGTTGGGCCACGGATCGATATGTAGTAATTACGGCTCGATTCTTGCTACATTAAAAGACCTTTGTTGTGTCTTAAAGCTGAATAATGTATTTATTGAGGGAGAGTCCTGCTACAAGAACTGAACACAGTGATGTACTTGAGATGCGTGATGAAGCCATGTGTGTAAACTCTATGAACGTATTGAAACAAAACAACCAATTTTTGTATCAAGTTTCCTCAAGATGCACGCATCTGTAAATCTGTACATTTGTAATGATCCCAAAGAGGATATGTACACGTATTACAGATCACCATGTTCTGGGAACCAGACAGCCATAAAATTGACTATAGATTTTCATCACACATTCAGGTATCAGGAGTGAGTCGGTGTGATAAATGATAGCAGTGTTGAGATTTTTTTCCAAAAGCAAACCTTTATCAGGTTTTTCCTCCATGGTATGCTCTATGCATGTATTCATTTTTCCTGTTTTTTTTACAAACCAATCAGCAAAACTGGCTAGGTTTGATTCAAATAAGATTTATTCAGAAGCATACTTCAACAACTAACAACTACCAAAGCTAAACTTTTGATGCTTTTGTTACACAGGTTCTCCATTGGGCCAATCAGAATGCAGATTACGTTCTTCCGTTGTACTGTTTAGACCCTCGTCACTACCATGGCACCTGGCACTTCTCTTTTCCCAAGACAGGGCCTCACCGCCTGAAGTTCCTCCTTCAAAGCCTTCAAGATCTCAAGGAAACCCTGCAACAAGTTGGCAGGTGAGTACATACATGTACATATAGGTTTTCTGTGCATTAACTGGCCCTAACCTATTAACTAGCCCTAACCCTGATGCATTCTTTGCATTAACTAGCCCTATTAAATCCATGAACTAGTCCTAACCCATTAACTAATCCTAATTCATTAATTAGCATTCTGTGCATTAAATAGCCCTAACCCATGGTCCCTTTGGCTAGGATGTACATGTACACTGTATTCCTCAATCCTCCGAAATTCTCGTCCTTTGAGGGGTGCCCACTGCCTCAATCCTTCAAAATCTTCTGTCAATTCCTGTCATTTTGGTGCAGTGCAAATGGTATCCTGGAACAGTGCGGATGATTTCATGTATAATTGAGACATGAATTTATGCATGGCTGAGCATTAACAACACAGAGTGTAACGCAAGACCTTGACACAGTGTATTCTTCTCAATCAGCCACATGTTTTGACCATTTAGCCTCAGTCTACCTAATTCCTCCAGGATTTTCCTGAGGATTTAGGAGGATTGACGACGTAATGCTTTAGAGCATGAGTCCTGTGTACATAGGATTACTGCTGAGAGTGCAGCGAAGTGTAGAGATTTATTTTAACTCCGGGCATATGGGCAAGTTAATTTGCTTGTTTTAAGGTTAAGTGTCATGCCTGACACAACACTAGCCATTTCTGCCTCAAGAAGTGGGCAGAAGACTGGATATTCGAGTGGCATTTGTTCTTCACGAGTTTCCGAGTTGGAAATCAATAGAACTGGTTGTAGTGTCTGCACAGTCATTCATTTTCAACTGTCTTGCAACACATTGATACAGAATATTGTTTCTGCAGCAAGACTTGTAAAATTCAGATTAAAAGCAGTGTGGTTGGATCTAGTGTGTATATTATCTTGGTCAAGTGATAAGTGGTAACACTGAGACAGTTTGCGAATGAAAAGTTACTTTGTTTAGTCAAGTCTTTCCATACATTAACCCAAGTATGGCTTCAGCAATGTACATGTAGTTAAATAGGAAATCTCTCCAGGCTTGTTATTAATGCTGTCAAGTACATGTATTTGTCCCATTAGTGATCTGGTCATCAGCAGAGGGAAACCAGAATCTGTCATTCAGGACTTGGTTCGTCAACTAGGCAAGGACAATGTGAAAGCTGTAGCATTACAGGAAGAGGTACATTGTAAATTCCTGTTTATTGTATTGTGCTACCCTGTACCAAGTACCTACCTAGAGTCTCTCAAGAAAAGGCACCAGTTTAGAGACCACTGTTCAGAGAAAAACTGCCGTTTAGAGAAAATCATTTAAAGGCCAATGTGGAACTGTGAATAATCATCAAGGCCACTTCCTTGCTGCCATTTTGTGCGCAGTACCTTGTAAAGGGCCCTTGCAGGGATTGTAGAGGGGGCAATCACTTGTTTAAACTTGCAAGTGGAATGCGGTACTCTAGATTTCCAACAGAATGTGCACATCCAGTAGTGTTTTAGCATACATGTACAAGAAACAAAACCAGAGAATTCCGGCTGATCCGTTGTTTCGAACTGTTTGCATACGATGGTATCAGTATCATGCATATTTCCACAAGCCAACTTTTCCAGTTAACAAAAGACAACAAGCAAACACGTTTGCACTTGGTGCAGCTTCTAAACATCTGAACAGTAAGGACTGTAATGTAAGAATGTTGAGTGGTGAATGACAATTGCGGAATCAAATTATTGGTAGCATTTTCCGTGTTGTCTTCTTTCCATTTGTAGGCTACGAGAGAGGAATTGGATGTAGAGGCTGCCATTGCAAAATCCTGCCAGGTTCCTGTCCAGAAGTTCTGGGGTTCAACTCTCTACCACAGAGATGATATTCCGTTCAGGATACGAGAGTAAGGTCAAGACTACATGCCATGCCATTGCCGTGAGGAGCTTTATTCAAATGAGTGTGGCAATAGCATGGCAATAAAGAGGCAGTTGTACTAAACACCAAATTGAAATTAAGCAGTGCTGTATTGTTGCCATTTGGAACGACAATAGCATGGCACACCCTGTTGAGCTAAAGGGCTTGCTGCGCTGAATACAATTTGCTGAGCTGAATGAACTTAAGAAATGGAATTATTTGAGTTCGGCAAGGCAGTAGCACAGCATAGAGCCTAGGCCTTAGATCTTTTTTAATGTAGGAGTTAGTTTTGTTTCATTCTGTTATCCTTGACATTTTGCAGGGGTGAGATTTGTCAGGATTTGTCCTGATTTCATTATTTTTTTATCAGGATTTTCCTGATTTAAGGATTTTTCAAACAATCTCTTTTGAAATCTGGAGTTTACTATCAAGGTGTTTTTATGAATAAAGTTGATACTAAGCGTAAGAAAAGAGCTGGATTAGTTTGGCCTATCTCACAGCTGGGGAGGCGAATTCTTGCCCCCCTCCCAAGAACTTGGCTGTGCTTCACTCAATTTTTGAAAAACTTAGCTTGCATGAAAAGACACTCATTTTCGTTACTAGCTTAAAGTTTGAACTCGATCAAACATATGGTTTTTTGTTTCGGTCATTTGAAGTGTAAAGCTATACGCCTGTGTGCATTGAGCAAGTGCTACATTGGAAAAATTGTACATTTTTGACTAACCTGTCTCGGGAAAAATGTGCACTGTGCTCGAACAGTATGTTTGATTTTTGTAAAATTGCTGTCAAAAGGACCACAGAGAGTTACTCTTTTATCTCCCAAAGGCTAAACTCCAGCAAAAATAATACATGTATAAAACAGCATTTTGAATTGAATTTGTAGTCAGTTAATGCAAATTAGAACATTGAACTTTGCAGAGCCATTGTGATTGGTGTTAGTCTTGTCATTATATAAACTATCTATTTGATTATCAATGTCTCATCGTATCTTATATTCACTTCTTCATTACAGATTGCCAAACGTGTTCACTGAGTTTCGCAAGAAGACAGAAAACCAGTCCAGAGTGCGCCCCACCTTTCCCATGCCGAGTAGGCTGAATCCTCTCCCACCAGGGATTGATCCTGGCCTCACCCCTAGCATGGAGGATATGGGAATGGCAGGTACGAATAAAAATGTTAGCATTGAAATGTACAATGGAACCATGTATCACATCTGTTGTCATTTTTCAAAGGATTTCCAAATACTTCTACAGAACTAAAATTGAGAAAAAAGTTTTTTAATAACTACTAGCTTACAACTTGAATTTTTTTGGAAAATATGAATTTAAAAGTTTTTGAAATGGAGTACCTTAGGCTCCATGAAGTACTATTTTCTTGGTCTCAGTTGTTTTCAAATCAAACGCAGTACCATTTTGGCTTTGTTTGGTTCCATAGAACCAGTGAAGGATGATCGTTCTGCCTTTCCCTACAGCGGAGGAGAGAGACAAGCATTAACAAGAATTCAGCATTATTTCTGGGATTATGTGAGTACAGAATAATACCCATGTAAAATTTCAAAAGTAAAAGTCGTGAGTTAAATCACTCTCCAGATTGCATTGTAACAGATGGGGTATGGATCAAATGACCTCCAACAGAATGAGGAAGCTACCAACATAAGTTTAGGTGGCTCAGTTGATAGATCACTTTCAGTTTGTTACTACCTCACTTTGTCTTCTTGAGGAAGAATGTCTTGTCAGTAGCATTTTAGCATTGTTGTAATGTTTTTGAAATTTGCTCTAAGTGGAGGGGTAAAAAAAAAAATCACCTTACAAGCCCAGGAGTTCCCAGGTAATGGTGAGAAAAGGTGTGCCAGAACTGTACAACATTGGTGAACTCTGACAGTTATTTTGAACAGAAGCTGGTGCAGTGACCTTCATTACTAGTTGATCTGTGACTACATAGAGTGGTCCCAAAAAAAATAATGTGTAACTCTTTATACTAGTCAAGAGAATGTCCAAAGTAAGCACAAGAAATTCCAAAGCCGGTTCTGAACATAAACCAGTCTATGAAGGGTGTTACCTGATGCTTTTTGTCAATCTCGTACTTTCTGAACAGGACTATGTAGCTACTTACAAGGAAACACGCAATGGGCTCATTGGAGCAGATTACTCAACCAAGTTTTCTTCCTGGTGAGACCGATCATGTGATTATTGATACTCGATTATATTAGTGAATAGGCATCAGTGATATTAGTGAATAGTCTTGAATTTTAGGCCTACATAGAATGATGGCGGCAGTTTAATACATGTGCTCGAGGAGTTGTCATATTTGACAAACTTGATTTAATGAACAATGTTAACTTGAAGGTGTTTCATAGTTAATACCTGTTTGGAGAAAATTGTCACATGTGCATGCAGGTGTTTATGAAAAACAAAAATGTGGGTACATTTAGCAATTAGTAGTGAAATGTAGCCTAGACCCCTCATGATTTTTGGCCTGAATATTGAACCAGGGTTTGTGCGTACTTGCTCAGGTTGGCTCTGGGATGTCTGTCTCCAAGGAGAATCTATGAAGAGATCAAGAAATATGAGAAGGAAAGAAGAGCCAACCAATCAACCTACTGGTATGCAACTAAATAGCTCAGTGACCATGTTTCACAAATTCTCTAAACCATTTGATGATTTGATATTCTCTGGGAAGTTTTTTTTTATTGTCGGGTTGCAAATGTGCTCTTACATTTTGGACCCTCTCCCTCATTTCCTAGCAACATTGTAAGAATCATCAGGCACATTGCACTGTGCTCAGTGAAGAGGGTTTGGTTTTGTTTGCTTTCCCCCAACTTTCATCATTCTTGAAAGGAACGTATAGTGTAATTAGTTGAACACCTCATTGCATTGACCAGATGATCCATATCCGTCCTTCTGTTTAACTTTTCTAGGGTTTTGTTTGAACTTTTGTGGAGGGATTACTTCAAGTTTGTGGCCCTAAAGTTTGGAGATCGACTCTTCTATCTCAGTGGTGAGAAAATCATTATGTCATTTCTATCTTCCAGCATTGGGATTCAATTCTTCCCCTAGACCTTGGTTTCTAAAAGTTGATCTTTTGATCGCATGGTATCATTGTCTCCAAGCCTGGCTGTCGGTGAGTTTGAGAACCACAGTGTTTAAGCAATATCTATACTGCTGAAAAGTACCATTGGAACTTGCAACTAAGGGAAGGTTAGCATGGGAGGTTCACATCAGTGAGTGAGGTTTTTTTCAGTCCCTGACACATTAGAATTTTGACCAATGACAGAGGTTCTGTTGCTCATGAATAGTTATAAGGCATGGATCCTGTTTGTTTCACATGGATCAATGATTCCAATGTTGGTTAGGTCCATCCATTAGATGGGTTTTGGTGTCAGTTAACCAACGATGGATCAATAATCTTGATCAGTGATTCTATCGCTGGTTAGCTTTATCCATTAGATGAGTTTTGGTGTCAGTTAACAAATGACGGATCATTCTATCGCTGGTTAGCTCCATCCATTAGATGGGTTTTGGTGTCAGTGAACCAATGACGGATCAACGATCTTGATCAGTGATCCCACTGGTTCTCTCCATCCATTACACCTGCGTGAAACAAGCAGGCCTATAATAAATGCTTGTTACACAACATCAGGTGTAGGTCATTAAGTATTTATGGTAATTTCTGTCAGTTCTCCTTGGCAACCAACGAGAGTTATGATCGTCACAAAACACCAAGAGATATTTATGGGAATGCAAGTCTTTGAAGTGTGAATTATAATTTTTCCTCAGGCCTCCTTGGCAACCGACGAGAGTGGAGGGAGAACAAAGCGCTATTTGATGCCTGGAGGGAGGGACAGACCGGGGTCCCCTTTGTTGATGCCAACATGCGAGAGTTGGCAGCCACGGGGTTCATGTCCAACCGCGGCCGACAGAACGTAGCAAGCTTCTTGACCAAAGACCTCAAGTTGGACTGGCGATTGGGAGCCGAATGGTTTGAGCATCTGTTGGTGAGTGGGTGGTTTTGGACTACAACGTTTATTTATGCTTTCATTATTTCAATGTCATCTGATCAACACTGATTCAGAAACTTTTATCATGCCTATTGAAATGTTTGTAACCTCTGAAAATTGGTAGGAAAAATTTTTCCTCTGGCTTACAATCAAGTAAAAACTATTGCAGGCTTGTGGGTCACTTGTAGCGGTATTTGCAAAATGAAAGTTCTGACAAATGTAAGATTTGTGTCAACATGTAATCAGTTCAGTTCAGTGTTTACAATTTCCCTTTATCCGGTTCGCAAGTCTGACGTCGCTTCAGTTTAAACCATGCCCACCGGACACGTGCAGTGCACATAGGGTTACATGCATTGATCGCCATTTATGTGGAACCATGAAACCGGAAGTTAACGCGCAACTTCTGCGATTGTCCAATGGGAGCCTGTGAATCGTGGCGCGTCCGCCTTTGTGATGAAGTCACTTATGAACCGGATACTCAATGATAAATGTTATGACCACATTAGAGTATTAAGCATAGAAGCCTGAATAAAAGTTATCACATAATGGGAGTGTGGGTAATCCGGTTCATAAGTGACTTCGTCACAATGGCGGATGTGCCACGATTTGCAGGCTCTCATTGGACAATCGTTGAAGTTGAGCGTTAACTTCCGGTTCCATGGTTCCATGTAAACGGCGATCAATGCATGTAACCCTATGTGCAGTGCACGTTTGCAGTGGGTGTGCTTTAAACTGAAGTGACGTCACACTTACGAACCGAATAGCCATGAAAATTTATGGGTTGTAGTGGGATCCAGATACACTGACTTCGGATTAAAAGCTAGAAACACCTGCCATATATAACAAACATTGATATTTGGCCTTGCAGATTGATCATGACGTGTGTAGTAACTATGGCAACTGGCTATACTGCGCTGGAGTTGGCAATGATCCAAGACAGGACAGAAAGTTCAACATGATTAAGCAGGGATTGGATTATGATGCTCAGGTATGTGGTTCATTGACATGCTGGCTGAAGAGGGTTTAACTAGGGTCAGCTGCTAGTCATTTCCAATCACCGTCTAAAACAGTGGAGGTGTTTGGTCAAGTTATTCAAGGTGGATGTGAGGTCAAGTTCAACTAATTTTCTAAAACTAATGGTGTAATACTTACAGTATATGTCAATAGTGCTGCTGTTGTGGAATGTTTTTGGGTAATGCAGGGAACCATGCATGTACCTCGTCATATGGGGTCCAAAATGGGAGACCCTACCCATTTTTACCCCTCCCCTCATCATGAATATAGTTTCATCAGTAATCTTCAATTGCCCAGTACATATCTTAACCACTTGCTGCCGGGGAGCCCGGTTTTGGAGACGTTGGCTTTATACGTATAGCCAGGGTGCCCAAAATTGAACACAAGGAACTGGGCCTTGTAACAAAAGACCATACTCGGAACAAAAGACTGAGCTACTGGGAATTGCCAACATTTTTTCAGTTATCAATAGCAGAGGAAATCTGTCATTGTTTTGAATGATTATACCACTGTTTGTTGCATTCAACATGAGTGGACTACCACCGGGGACAAAAGCGCTCCAGCGATACAACACTGCTGCACGCTAATCTGGTCTGCATTTGAAAAGACGCCAGTAGCACGCTGGGCCAGTTTTGGGAAGCAACTTCAAATTAAACCCGGCAGCATATAGTTAATGTCCACACTTTTCCAAAAGTCTGTTTTTCATTTATGTAATGTTTCAACAACACCTGTTTTATACATTTTTAGAAAAAAAACCTTAATGGCTTTGCTGTTCTGGTTCCACAGGGTGACTATGTGAGGCTGTGGGTGCCTGAACTTCAAGGCATCAAGGGTGGTGCTGTACACACCCCCTGGGCCCTCAGCAGCTCTCTGCTCATTCAGGCTAACGTCAGGCTTGGCCACACTTACCCCATGCCCATTGTGAAGTCACCGGAGTGGGGCAAGTATACAGGAAGTCAGGTGGGTGATAAAGTTCATTGGAAAGCACATCTGGCCACGATTTTTCAAAATAGGAATGTTCAAAAATAGAACCTGTCTTCTGTCGCATATCAAGCCTTTAGTCAAGGCTATTGTGTCAACTATTTTATTCCAGAATAGTGGTGTCAAGAATACTTCAGAAGAGATTAATGTGGTACTCAGAACCTGTCACAATGAATGCCTTTAACATATCCTTCCAGTGCCACATGTTGAATAATACTATTTACTTTCTGCACTGTTTCTTCATTTATGATGAAAACAGAAATGTCCAGTTTTTGTTATTTACCAATCTTACCGAAAAAGCATCCTTGTATTTAAAACTTACGTTTCACCGCAAAACTGGATGGGCACTGTAAAATTGGTTGAGGGCTTTGGTTTTGTTCACATCAGAATTTGCCACATACTGTTTACTTTGTTTCCATCTGGAATGTTTTTATTTGCTCATTTGCATAGCCACCTGTTCGAGGGCACAAAAACTTTTTTTCATTTAATGCTTTTTTATTTGGGCATTATTAAATTTTCCTACCTTCAACCGCTCCCCATAATCTAAGCAGTGTAGGTTGAGAGCTAGCAATAATCAAGGTTTTTCCAAAGATTTATCTCAAACTTGCTTTGCCTATGTGCATGCTTGGGGCTAGCCTCTCAAACAAATAAATATTGAACTTTTTTTCTCATTGGAGATTTGGAAGATAAACCTGTTTGTTTCTGCCTTTCAGGAAAGAGGAAAAAGTGGGAAGGGACCAGGCCCAAGACAGCAGACCAGAGGACTTGATTTCTACTTCTCCAGCGCCAAGCAGAGGGGCCATAAGAAGTGAGAGGAGTCAGCAGATTGGATCGTGTTGTTAATTTCAAACGAGGGGAAACAAAAGTGAAATCCGACCATGCGATTTAAAGTCCTAACCGTCCAGCTGTGTTAGAATCAGATCGAATTTGGGGATTTGGGATTATTGGGTTTGGTCCTTACGTATTTGCAAAGTGTTACTATTAATGGAACTTGTGTATCATAGGTTGTTTGATATTCAAATCCTTGGCCTCATTTCCACAAACCTTTAGAAGGGATCTTGATGTTGAAAGCATATATTAAATACAAAGTGTTTTTGGTTGGTTATTTATTGTATTTCTGATTAAGATATGCACCTGTTAAATAAATTTTAGGCATCCTGAGACCGGAGACTCTACGTGGTTACATAACTTTGACTGATGGATTAGTAAGCCTTTTGCGAGTTAAATTTGAATAAAATCTGGTAAACTGAGTTCTTTAACTTTACGCGAACAAAATTTAAACCTTTGATTTTTTTTCAGCTGGTCATGTAATGTAAGTGCCAGTATGTCACCCTTGTGTAATACTTGTGCTGACTTCTCATGCAATATGCTTTACATCATGGGAAATCTTGTCCTTTTATTTTATGCCTACATAAATGAAAGGTTCTGCTTTCACTGTGCCGCAAATCATGCATTATTGCCATTTATTCACATTCATGTTTTTTAAATTCCACATCCGGAATTAGTACCGGGAAAAAAAGCAGCTACTTACCAAAGTTGATTTATTTTCAAAAACTTTTCTTCCAGGTATTACATTTGTCATGTGTAATACATGTACTGATTTCAATGGTAAAATTTTGTCCACCTGTTGTTGGTAAATGTAAAGGAAAAGCTAAAGGAAAAGCTAATCATCTCTAATCATACAATGTGATAGATATATTATTAGAATAGTATCAAGGCATCTGCATGTCAAGTTTCATTGAATAGAAGTATAACATCAGCTTGAAGGAAACTAACCTGTCAAGAGATTGCTATGAGCAATAAAAACTTCTGATACTAAGTTCAAGTGTCTACCCTCTCTGGTCTTTCTCCCATCAGGGAAGATATCTCCTTGGCATGATAGGCATGGTATTGGATAAGTCCACTTGTTATCCTTCATGACTTGGGACAATGGGACAATAGTGAATGGACTCGTTATCCTACTAAACTTAGGACCAGGAACAATGGGATGTGGGAGACAAAAGCTTCTCACACCTGAGCCAAGTCTTCAGAACACTGATTAAGACCTACATGTAGAGGGCATTTTGACAAAGTCTGAACAGGAACTAAAATGGACAGTAACCGGTCCTCAAGAGTATTGTTAAAAAAAGATTGCAAAAAACAAGCTCATGTACAGATGCATGAATCTTCATCACAGATGCCCACTCTGAGACACTGTAGGACAGCTTTTTCATGAGATTTTTACACCAAGTTCAATCTCCTTGAGGCATGGAGTAAAACATACATGTACATTTGGGAATGTTGATGTCATTTTGCATTCAGCAAGAGGAGATTTTCACACGCTTGAAGATGGACGAAATCCTGTTGTTCTCCCAGCGACTTTGTAGGGTCACCTTCTCAACAGCCTCTGCACAGCAATCTTGAATGCAGGCCACAAGAGGGCGGTGTTTTTTCGGTACCATTCCCGGTTATACAGCTTGAGTGTTTGCCGGTTGTCCTGGAGAAATTCTCTGTAGAACTCGGCCATTTTATCCGCACTCAACACTCGTTTTGCTCCTTTGTTGGGAGGGAATAGAAGGGAAAAAGAGTTTTTTTAATACATACATAACAAAGAAAGGGAGGAGTCAAGATTTACCATGAAATTTGTTGAGATAAAAACAACAGAGTAGATTCATTCAACTGATTTACATATCTCTCAATGCATAGCAGTCCATCATCCTTCATATCCAGCTGTAGCAGAATGGGATATTTTATGGCTACAGCCTAAGTTTGGCTGTAACCATACTAGGATGAAAAGCCATAGCCACAGACATAATGCATATTTGTGGCACAGCCTAATGCCAAGATGGTCAGATTGAAGAGGTTATGTGCATCACTTCAGTAATTTAATTTCAATATGCACTGAACATCCATTATGTAAGCCCTCCCTGATTCTTGGCACTACGTCTATGCACAGCATAGCCCACAGTCAGTTCTAGGAAGGCTCACATTACTGTTGTGCATGGCCACTGCTTTTTTTCTTACCTGTATACTCGATTCAGGAGAAATTTCTAAGCAGACATAAACACCAACAAACATCATGAAATGCTGATTTTGCCCACATGTTAAAAGGGCAAAACGCAGGATTTCAATTTGGTGTAACTGTGCAGTAGTATAAAACGTCACTTAACTAATGCTCTGATCACATGATTTAAACACAGAAATTTAATTTAAACAACAATAAATTACCATCTTCATCCAAGAGCCCTTCTCCTTTCTTGCCGAGTGCCTCCTTAACAAAACGTTCTTTGGCCTGTAAGGAAAACTCGAAGTGAATATCTCATCTTCAATGGTCATTCCTTTCTTCATTTGCATTCTTCAGATTTATTGATGCAGTTTTGACTCATTGACTAGTGACACAATATCCAAGTGATTATTTGTTTTAAGATGCAGCAGATGGTTAAGACTTTCTTATTAACTGCATGTCTGAAAGTGGCACTGTTGTCAAGGCCATCACGAGTGCCTGCAAGTCTATCACATGTCAATCACAAGTCATCCAGAATTAGCCCAATTAACAATTCATTCCACTGAAATGTGACCAAAAATTTCCTTTGTTCACCCTAATACTTAGGACTAGTCTTATGAAGGACTTGTGAAAGGACTTGTAAAAAGACTCATCATGGACTTGACCACTGAACTGCGAAGTGGTAATTTGGTTTTCTATTCCCCACAATATATTTCCACTTTATGAGGAACTGAGCAAGAGACATTTTCAAATCTTTTGATAGAAGAGCAAAACTCCAAGAGAGAGACTGTTTCAGGCTGCAGGAACAATAAATATTTTGAAATATCTAAACATTGTTGACTCTAAACATCATTGATAACCCACCAGCGAACGTCATACAGCACAAAAATGCACTCGAGTTAGCAGATGTGCCTGACACTGCAGTGGACTGCAGGACGGCAAAACCACAAGACCTGACTTGGCCAACATCTCATCACCTCAATGAAGTTCTGGTTATGCTGGGCCCAGAAGGCGTGATTCCAGTCATAGATTTCCTCCCTCATCTCTCGGTACTTTCTCTCTGCTTCTGTTTCATTCGGTCTCTGAGCAAAGCGTAGTTGTCGGAGATTGGAGCGTTTGTCCACCGGGCCGATCCAATCCCAATCCGGACAATCAGGAGGCTCTGCCTTGTGCTGATGGTCATTAGCCTCACTTGGGACTTTGTCTGCATTGGCTGCTGAATCCGAAGTAAATAGCTACCAAAAAAAAAATCAAAAACAATTCACTGAAGCATTTAATTTTCATTTGCTGGGAAAGCCAGACTTGGAAAATGGGCACTGGCAATGATGGGTGTCACCCGGCTTTTTTTGGGGGGGGGGGCAAAGTACTCTCTCCGCCTTCCGCCCCCCCCCAAGATGCCCATGATGATTGAGCAGCCTACTTTCGTACAAGACTGAACGTGCTGAACCCAAATCATTTTCAACAGTTTTAGATCATGCAGCGTCCTCTAGTCCTAGTTCTATAATGCATGCTCACCTGATAAGGGGCCACTAGTGGTGTATACATGTATTTACTGCTATGCCTCTGATGGAGTGGACTAGCACAGATTCTTTTTTTATAACAGCAGGAAACGAAAACTTTGACGTTTCTTGAAAGTAACATTGTGCTTATGTGCACCCTGTTCCCGGCCCTGTTCGGCTGTTTTGCACCAACTGGACAGTAGTCGGCATCAACTTCGAGTGCCTTTTATTTATAATTAAAACCGTACATGTAAGCCAGGTTACAAGACTCTGTCTGACCTTTGATCACTTGACCGAAACGACGAGACGCTCATTTGCCGTACAAAGTACTGTACATGAGCGGGTACCGGGTGCACTCGGCGCGTCAATGGCCAGTCACGTAACTAGCACTCTCGTCTTTCGGTACATTAATAATAGCTGGGGCTGTGGATCTAGACTGGAGTTTGATTCCGGTATGTTTCCTTTTTTATCATCGATGAAATTTAATACATGAATCACTAGGGAAATAAGGTGTCTAAATATTTAGCGAGGCAACATCCAACAAGCTTTTCTGCTTGTTCAGGTGTCTGGATGCATAACCATAACGGATGTGAGCATGGGGTTATCAACTGTGAGTCCCCTTGCCTTGGCCTAGCTGCCCAGGACTTCCAGCTGTTTGTTGAAAACTTTTCGAGTCTGCGCAATAAAGGTTGTGCATTCAGGGGGAGTAGGAGGCTAAAATGCTTTGGATCGCTCAATTAAACCTTTTGTGCCTCTTTCTAACTAAACTGAAATTAAATCATGAAACAATTAAATCATATAGGGAAACTGACCAGGTGCTTATGAATGATTATAAAGATGAACAAAGAAATTGACTGGAGCGGGACTTTAACCTGCAGCCTCTGGAATACCGTACCAGTGCTCTACCAACTGAGCTACCCAGCTCTATGGTGGTAGGTCTTCCCGTTTGTCAATATCTCTGTTCAGGGGGTGCTAGCCAGAAGCCAAAAAAGCCATATCCTCTTTGAGTGATCCCTGTTTACCACTTCCCAGGTTGTATCATGTAATTGGGGTGTGATCCCTGGCTGTATGGTGTTTCAGGTTTAATGGCTTATGGCTAATGCCAGACAAAGCGTGACATGGGATGGTAAGCACACCATTTGCTCGTCCAATCCCCATCCCACACAATGATGACGTGCTTCCATGAAAATACCCGACAGCTGTTGTTTTCGACTCATTCATTGCGTTCACACATACACAAGGCTTTGTTATGAAAGATACAAAGTCACTGATAAAACAGCCGTAAGATCACCATCTCTAACACTGTCTGGTTCCCATAGCAAACAGATCCCGACTGTGTTTGGCATTGGTCAACTATCGGGAAAAAATCACTGCAGTAAACGAATAGCCCAAATTGAAACCAAAATTTGACAGACTTCTACAACCACGCAAAACGGTTTTCATAGAAGGTGTTTTCGCAGAGTCTCCACTTTTTACATTGACGGTTGTGGGGCCAAGGATACTGAGGGAGTCCAGTAGACTGATCCCCAGTCTGGGGCTAGGCCCGAGATTGACACAGAAAAAAGTGTCCCATTGTCTCCAGTCTATGTCTTGCCTACCAATGGCTTAGTGCTGACACAACAATGATACTAAATCACTGACAAGTAAAAAAAAAAAGAAATCACCATGTTTTGAAATTCAACATTCTGTTCTCTAAATAAGCCTTATCGCAAATACTGCATGGGTGGTTTTGTGCAATGGTAGAAAGGCATTGTGGGAAGGAAAATAAAGGTGGAATGTTTGCTCCTTTCCCTTCCTACAATGCCTTTCTACCATTGTAAAAATTCTCACACAGTATTTGTGATAGTGTTTATCGGATAAAGACGATTCTGGAATCCTCTTCTCTATCACAGGTTCAGAGTTTAACCTAGACCAGACCCTCACATAGCCTGCATGATGAAGTTCATAACCACTCGATGCCAGGACAAGGAATACACCTTCGAGGAGGCACTCTTCTCCCCAGGCTATGTAGCCGGTGGATTGCTCCTCCCCAAGACAATTCCACAGATCTCTCAAGAGGTGCTGAAGTCATGGTTAGGACTGTCTCTGCCTCAGGTTTGCAAGCAGATCCTTCCGCTCTTCATCAGCGGGGAGGAAATCAGTCAAGAGGATTTGGAAGGTAGGGCTAGTCACAACCTCTGACGCACTGGAGCACTTTTTAAGACCTGTTTCTGAGACCTTGTACAAATACACTTTAAAGTCAGATTTCAATTCAGACCATAGCATGCACAAGGAAAGATTCTCAGGGCTTTGAATTTGAACATGGTAGGATACTTCTCTTAAAAGTTGAATACTAAAAAGTGATAAAATCTCTAAAGGTCTGTGAAAGATCTTGACTGTAACACTGTTCGAAGCTAAGACTATATTTACCTCATGTAGAATATTGTATTGTTTTATTTGTTCCAAAACCATGAAATAATCTTTATGAACAGTAGCATATTAAAAAATAGTTATGATTTCAGAGCATTCTGATAAAAATTTGTGTTGTAAAAACAGGAATCTTTGTCTGAATCATGAAGGACATAATATCATTATTTCCAATAACCTTTACTTGGAAAGACTTCTCCAGACTTTCCACTTTAGAAGTGACAATCCCCACATATCAGCTGCAAAATCCTGGGGAAAACAATTTACTGACACAATACTTTGTGACTTCCTTTGTGAATTGACACTGAGGGATTCCCAAAGCATCTGCAATCCTTCTTTTTCCAGAATTTCATCATAAAATCTTTGCTTGTTTGTTTGTTGGGTTGTTTGTTTGTTTGTTTTTTTTATTTACCTTTATTGTATCTATGTATGTAAATTTTATTTGTGCTGGTAGTTGTAATTTGAATGCTGTCTGTCCTAGAACCGTTTTATTCAAATGCTTGCGTGAATAATAAACCAATAATAATAATAATTCCCCAACTCAGTTGAAATATCTCTTCTTTCAACTTTGCAGCTTTGATCGATGACGCTTACTCCCGTCTCCCGTTGGATCAGGTGGCAGCTCTTTCTTCCTTTCCAAACGGTCTCAACGTCTTGGAGCTGGGTAACACCAAGACGCTGGCTTTCAAGGATCTGTCCACATTTATCATGGCTCGTCTGTTGGAATTTTACTTCAAGAAAAGGGAGAAACATGTGACCATCCTAGTTGGTAAGAGACTGAACTTTTGATTTTTTTACTTTGGGCAAATCATAGAAATTGAGGGAACCTTCTTGAATTTTTCATAATCCTCCATTGGTTTATGCGTTATGTCTCTGTCTTAGGAACATCTGGAGACACAGGACCATCGTCCATCGAGGCCATCCGTGGGTCAGGCTGGATGGATATTGTGGTGTTGTTCCCCAAAGGATACTGCACAGAAATACAAGAAATTCAGATGACCACAGTGATGGACGAAAATGTTCATGTCTATTCAGGTAAACTGGGACTCAGAACTTCAGCTCAAGTAAATTTTTAACTCAGCCCAGTTTCATGGAGCTGGTGAGCAAACATGCAGTGCTCTGCTAAGTTGTGTGGCTGACACAGTACCAGTCAAAGCAATGCAGCGTTAATATCAGTTTGATAACAAGTTTTTTGCACAGAAAAAATTAGTGGGAAACAAAATATTTAGCTTGTTAAAATGTTTGTGGTATCACCATGCAAGAATGTCTCTTTTATGAGTATGTGTGGTTCTGAACAGAACCAGAGGGTGCTCCATGCTTTGGACAGTGTGCTCTGTCCATCGTCGGGAGACTGCTCAAAGCTAAAAAAAAATGAGCGTAGTTGTTCTTTCAAATTAGTTTGATATTACACAGCCAGTCGCTCAAAAGTCTACCCCTGCACTAGCCGGAGGAAGCAGGACTGTACACGTCATCTTCTTAACATTTGGAAGTGATTGGGTGATAGTAGAGTCCTATGTTTATTGCTGCATTGCGTTATGCATGTACACATACCTTGTTTGCAGTTTAACGATTGCAGTGCTTTCTGATTGTTTTTCCCGTAATGTTTGAAGTTGAAGGTTGCTCTGACGATGTGGATGAGCCCATCAAAGCAGTTTGCCTTGACCAGGACTTCAAAGCCATCCACAACCTGTGTACCATGAACTCCATCAACATGTGCCGGGTCCTGTGTCAGATTGTGGCCTATTTCTACGGTTACCTGAAAGTCTGTCGCTCTGTTGGAGACGAGGTGGAGATTGTGGTTCCAACTGGTGCAGCCGGAAACATTACTGGTGGGTCATATTGCATTTGGGGGGAAGGGGTGTGTCAAGCCATTGTTACAACGATTGTTTTGGGGCCTTGCTGTGTACCTTTGTTGTGTGTGGTATACATACATTTATACAGTTCTGTTTAGCTTTCTGCAATGAGCAGGATCACCCCTTCATCAGTTGAAAAGAGCTGTCTTGGTTGGGAGTGTTCATTTTGCTGGCAGCGAAACAACTGTAATACGTTCATGCCATAGTTTGTGAACCAGCGAAGTGCAGTCCCAACCAAAGGAGTCTCTGTTGCTAGGAAAATTGCGCCCCCTCTTGGTCCAGCTCGGGGCATATACCACTGCAAAAAGGGCATTGTATTCTCATTGTTCTCGCAATATACCTGTAACACTCTCCATAGACTTAAAACACAGGTACTTACACCGAGGACAGTAGACTAACCAGTGAGAACAGAGAAACACCCTTTGTGCTCTGTCCTATGTGGTAAAGCCAAACATGTACGTATTGGTATCCTTGTGGGTTTTCTAAATCATTTCTGTATTCCCAATAATGATACACATCTAAGTACAAGCATGTGTAAACCTTTAATAATCAGGTTGAAAGTTTGACCAAATGTTCCGCATACAAACTACTGTAATTTGCAACAAGTATATCTTTGAACTCTCCCTTTTGGGTAAAAAAATGGTTAAGTTCCAAATGTCTTTTTGTGAAAACCTTGAAGGATGCCTCCTGTTGTAATGGTATCCCACCAAGGCACCGTTAACACATGCACAAATTTCCACTTGAACTGTAGGCTTCCTGAAACATTAATGTGCTGAGACCTTGTGGGAGATTAATGCAATCTGGCAACCTTCTTATGCATAGCAAAAATGACCTGTGTCATTACTTCTGTGGGGTACCCTATATATGAATGATTAAAAAGGTGCCAGTCTGTGCTACCACATGTGAAATATATTTGCTTCGGAATAGCACCATGCTTTCACAAGCATTATCTGATCATAGAAGGAGGAACTGCACCAGTTTGATTACATGTGTCATTTAAGTTTCTGCTCAAAGTGTGTTGCAGACCACGGCACTTTGGAAATGAGCGTCTTAAGAATCATCCACGTTCTTTTTGTCTCAAGTTGTTGATTCTTTTCAATGGAAATCTTGTACCAAACTTTTCATATAATTTAGATGCACCATCAAGGCATAACTTTAAGACCTATTTCAGAGAAATGAAAATATGTCACTACTGGTGAACTCCCATAGAGCTATCTATAAAACCTAGAGTGCTGACTCTGTACAAAGTGAAGCCCGTTGGGTGCATCCATGTTTGTGCACAAACCTATGGAAAACTTGAAATTTTGTATGGCTTTTGTACGGCTATTTATCTGCGTGTGTATTTGAAAACAGTGCGTCAGCAAAGCTGATACACAAAAAACCTAAATGCACAATTGGTAAATGGGGGTTTCATTTTGCTCTGCACAATTGGTAAATGGAGGTTTCATTTTGCTCTGCACAAGTGGTAAATGGGGGTTTCATTTTGCTATGCACAAATAACGCAATGCATGAGTATATGCGCTGTAGATAATTTCGCTGGGCCTTTTTATGAAATTGGATTTGGTACCTGATGCACATTGCATTTGGAGTACATAGTCTGATATTCATTCTCTCTGATTTCGAATGTTTTACAAGCACGCATAAGGATTCAAAATGCCTGCTCCCAGGACGGCGTCAAATTTTCTCCATGCACTCTAGTAATTTAATTTAGCTCTATTTGAACTCCTAATCTCTTCAGGTGGATGTTTAGCCTACCGCATGGGCCTACCCATTAAGCTGGTGTGTACAGTGAACAGTAATGACCTGTTACACCGTATGCTGAGTACCGGTGAACTCTCCACGGCTCCCAGTGTCATCAAGACATACTCGGTTGCTATGGACATACAGGTGAATGACATCATTCCAGTTTGTGCAACGTTTTACCCAAAGTACAAATAAGCATACTGTGAAATCAAACATTTGAAAAAGATTTTGAGAAAGTGGACTGCTTTGTGCACAACATATTGAGTCATTGAAGTGTAAAGAGTAATCCAAGGAGACACCAGAACTGCAGTGCCACACTCACATTTCTTAAGCTTAATGCATGTGTACATGTGTGAAATCCTGACACCCATTGGTGGACGTGGCATGTAACGCGCACGTATCACCTGTCCACAAGCATTATACCATCGCAGTAATGACTTCTAATTCTGTTGGCTAAATTACACTACGTGCAATTTCAGTGGGAATAAATAATTATCATCAAGAACTCGGGAATGATACCCACAGAAAGGTTGATTTATGACTGCAGTGACACAGAAATAACACACTAGTCTGCAGAGTCGCAAGACTTGATAAGAAATTCAGTGAAAGAACAAAGCTACGGGTAAACAACTCTCACAGTCTCTATCAGGAAATTATTTTTGCCCTTACAAAGATGTAAAGCATTCAGTTCTCGATCCTTAGGTCTAGATATGCACAGAGGAAGTGTTACATAAAGAATTTAGGTTAGGTAAAATTCTGCCAAGGAATTTTGCAATCTTTTTTTTCCTGAGGAAGATGCTGTATATAATTTTTCCCTTTGTCCTTCTTCAACAGAATCCATACAACATTGAGCGCATCTTTTCTTTGTTTTCGAACCGAGATACAGCCCTGGTCAAAAAAATTATGGAGGAATTTGAGACTGGAGGGAAGACTACTCTTCCGGCATCTTTGCTGCAGAAGGTGAGCAGCTCAACGAACAGACACATGACTTACTGAATTGTTTGCCCTGGCTGAATTTATGAGATGCCATACACCGGTATCTTGGGAGGTTTGTTTATACTTAGGTGATGACCTTCTAAGAGGTTTGATAAACCATTCCTTACTTGAAGAGACGCCTTCTTGCAGTATTGTAATACATAAGCTTAACCATACAATGCCTCTATTTTGTGTGTATCTGAAACCCTACAGAAACCTGAAGGTTTATAACATTGAAGTTTGACTTTAGAACAGGAGAGTTTTAAAAGATGTAATTTACATGCATATACAGGGCTTTGTGAAATAAGCATTTACATATTAACTCAACATACATTTCATTTTGTGCTTCTCAAATTTCAATAAAATATGCTGTTGTACAGCTACAGCTAAGGGGGAGCTGTTCAGATCGGTTTCTTTGCCAGGGCATAGGTCAGCACGGTGAGAAAGTCACTCAGTTTGCTCCTGTGATTGGACTGAAGTCTGCATAGCAGTGCACCACAATGAAGTTGGCATCTTATCTTCTCTCCTGACATTTCTAAATTATTTTTGTCTGCACTTTTTCCCTGCAGGTCTTTTGGTTTCCAGACTAAGAGATTCACACAAAGATTCTGGTCAGTCTGCTTAAAGTTCCAACAATGGAGACATTCTCTGCAATCTTCCCACGGTGATCATTTGATACACTTTTTGCAGTTCACAACCAAAGCTAGTGTGATTCCAGCTGTAACAGATTACCCATCTGACTTTCAGCACAGAGGTAAAGCCCCATCAGCTGTTTTAGGTATAAGATCTGATGAGGCTGGGCAGATGGAAGCATAGCATGATGGGACATCAACTAGCTAGTCTCTGCTTCAAGGCTAGATGTGAAGTTTGAACAGATGTACCCCTCATTTTTTCTCTTTTTATTTTTTCAGCGAATCCATACTATTCCTTTTCTTTTCATTTTCGTGAATAGCTTGCTGTAGATAAGCTGATCACACATGTACATTTATCGTCAATGCCTGAGTTTTAGATTTCTCTTCATTCTAGACAGGAACTCAACACCCATGGGCAGATTTGACAGGTATTTTTACAGGCAAGTTTTCATATGAACTTCATTTCTGCAATAATGATTGATTTTCCACCAATTTTACGCTTGTATGATTTTTGTCCTTCGTTGGTATGATTTGTGACTACGCCATCTTGAAAAATATTACATTTAAAAAGATGTTTCATTTCCACATTTTCATGAAACAAAAGTGGTCTGAAAAGCGTGGAAGGACCAACAACAAGTCTTTTTAGACTGTATGCGCAGTGTGGTACTGCACAGTGTGTATTGTATTCATACCAGTGTTGGTACTAGACGTGGATCATTACTTGCAAATTTCAGCCGCACCCACGTACGTATATTCAGCATGTATAAGCCGTACGTGTACAACACTTGATGGCTATGGACAAAAGGAACATAACGTCTGGTATTGAGACTACTACTCCAGCGAAGCAGCAAATTTCTCACCGATCGTACATGTGCAGCAGTGTGCATGGTGCAACGTGCGGCATTGTTGTAGTGCACAGAGTGGTGCCACACATTATGTCGACCAAATGTGGGAAAACTAAGCTAAAGCCTCAGCAGAAGTTTCTTCAGAAATGCAGTGATAAGTAGCCATGCCTAATTTCCAGTAAATGGTTGGATTATTTTGCACAGTGTTCAATGCTGACTTCAGTGTGAGTCAAGC